GATCAGTTTGCTCCACCTCATTCTTCACATTTTTACATTGGTTTAAGGGAGAGTAACCATGTAAAACATACATAGCTTTGTAGAGCGACAAATTCTCTATTAAGGATGGGGGGGGGGCATATTAGTAAAAAAAGATTTCAAGTCTCTACGCCTTACCATTCAGAAGATATCCAGGGACCAGGCTCTAAAACAGGGCTTTTACGCGTACAAATTTTTTCCTAATATTCTTCAAGCTACAGAGTTCGGGTTGCTTTTATTTGAAAGAGAACTCCTTACTGCTTCAGATGAAGAAAAGGTTTCTTTTGCATTGACGCCTAATAAAAAAAATTCGTTTCCCTCATCTGAAAGACTATCTATGTAACTATCGATCAAAAAAAAATACAGCTCTCAAGATTGGAGTATATTGAAAAAAACATTTGTTCACAGTTCGATCATTACCGAGAAAAATGCAAAACAAGTTTTTTTTAATATAGTTTTCCTGCCATTATATAAAACTGAGATGAATCTTAACTATATCACATGCCCATCGAAGTACTTATCGATAAACATTAGATTGTCCGCATACAAGATACATCACGATAGATAACGCTAACTGTAATTGACTTTATATTCGTTACGGTGGCGGCGGAGTCATTAGGCTTGTGGAGGCTCATTATTTGAGAAAATTTTAGGATCTCATTTTGAATTAAACTAGATGTCCCAAATATTATCAACAAAGTTTATTTTATATGTATCTTTGCATGTACAAATGCTAAAATCATGAATTTTTTAAAATGCGTTGTCGGCACTCTCTACAACAACTGTATCAAAAAATTCTATTGACTTCCATTGATGAATTTTTAGAAAACTGAAAAAAAGATGTATAAAAGGTTTCTAATTTCCATTATATTAAAAATAAGAAACATATTGGAAATAAAATCTATTTTTCATTTACTTTCGCAGAGAAAAATGGTAAAAATCAGATTGCTTTGAAAGATTTGCCGTTAAATTCTCCATGATATTCAGAGAAAAGGTGTTCTTGGATTATTGCAAGCGATTTTGACAGGGCTAAATGTAAAGATGTCAGAGACACTGTTATTTGTCACTATAACAGTTGACTAACAGCGTCAGAAATGGCAAGCTTATTATCGAAAGCAAGTCTTTTTGTACAGAAATGTACTACTAAATACAGTAATATCATGAAAACGATACGTTTCGTGTTCAAAAATCGTTTTAAAGAATCAAAAATGAACAGTTAGATGATTAGTTGTTTAAATAGAGAAGCAAATTCAACTCAAAACAGTAAAAAATTATAGTCTCGTACATCTTTGCTTTTAGTCCTCATAAAAATCGATTAGAACAAGTCAAGAGAACATTTTTTTTTTAAAATTCAGGTTCTGTGATTTGTTTGAGCAAAAATAAATAAGAAATAGATATATTGAAAATATTTTTATTTTTTCCAATACAGCGGAGAGTAGCAACATTTTATACATCTTTTCTTTCAGTTTTTTAAAAGCTCATCAGAACAAGTCAACAGGACTTTGTGATGCAGTTGCCCTAGAGAATTCATGAATAGCTGCTAGGATTCATTTTTCAGAATTTTTCTATAAATCTCGATCTTCATTTTATCGTCAAACGAAAATAATTAACGCAAAGATGACTGTCTGACTGAGGGTGACGACAGACAAGATTTTGGAGGAGCATTAGCTGAAGATTAAGTCTTACTCCTCCGAATCATGAATTTTTTTGTTGTAGTTAAATTTTGTTCTATGCTATCGTTTAGATAAATTCCATTATTTAAAAGAATTGAGTAAATTCCAAAATATAAATTCCGTGACACTCTCAAATTCAGGAGTACATCTTTTGAAAAAGGTTTACGAATAAATGATTTGTCTGTGCAAAGATATATACAAAATCGACTATATTCAAAACATGTTGGAGCACCCGATATCTCTTTAGTACAAGTTAGCGTAGAAAACTAGAAAACTTTCCCTCTTCTTTTATATCACCTTCAACATTCTCCCCCGTTATCATCTGTGAAGTTTTGAGCCTCCCCTAGATTAAAATCGTTCCGCCATCTCTGAATCGTTATACCATTGAACAACATAATAAAGAGAATATGAGTCAAAATTTAGGTTTCTGTGCATTCCAAATTTCTCCATCATTTCAAATGCTAGAAAATTTGGATTGGTTTTAAAATGTAGCTAAGATATGGTATTACAATTTAACAGGGTCTGGCTTTTCGATTTTCTCCTAGGATGAAATACGGAGAATCTAAGGGGAAAGGGATGGGAGGGGGGAGGGGTATATCCAGAACGGTTAGCTTTGTATAAATATTGTGAGGAAATCGAAAAATCTGGCTCCGCTAAATTGTAGAAATAGTTTTTGCCTTCATTTTGACACCAAGCTAAGCTTTCTAGCGTTTAAAATGACGAAGAAGAAATCTAGGATGCACGAAAACGTGAAAGTCAAAATTTGAAAAAAAAAACATTATTTTCTTGTATAGAGGATTCAGAAAAACCTATGTAATATTCTTAAATCTCATCATAAAACCAATAAACTATAGTGCATTCAAGGGTAGACACTTTGCTCAATCTAACCAGCTATGAATCAGAAAAATCACACATTTGATCAATATTGGTTTTTTCTGACGGGGAAGGGTCCGTAAGTGAGTCTAGAAGTAACTTTTTCGATCAATTGAAAGTATTTCAAAAGTAAAGACTAAAAATGTCCAGTTTATTCTGGCTCACCCGTTACAGTTATTTCAATTACTTAATCTTCTTTTGTGTGTATGTTCTATACCAACTCGAAAGCTCTGCACACAATGGAGCTTATTCAGCCGATTCTGATGTTTCATTTCGATTATGTTTCCATGCATTTGAAGTTATTATAGAGAAATTCTATTAGGTAATTTCAAAAGAAATATCACAGTTAAGAGACCAAGTAAAAGTTATACGTAAGTATTTGTATATAGTTCATTAGTGATTGAAATCGATGATTAAGATTTGAAAATACTTTGAATATTTTACAATCATCAAGATATTCAAATAGTTCATAGAAAAATTCATTAGATAAATTTTTAATTCAATTTATCGATTTAAAAGAAAGAATGAAATCTATTAAGAAACATATGAGTTCGAAGTTATAAAAGTTTTTATTAAACAATTTCAAACTAAAGTAATTACAATAAATAATCTACTAATTATTTCCATTGTAAATAAATTTTATCCATAACATGTTTAATTATAAAATCAAAACGTAAATTTTCCCTATCAATCATTTTTTCTAATTTTTCAATCATTTCATCATGTGCTTCTGGAATAGAAAAACATAATAATCCAAGTAAAGAATTGGATACACCTTTAATTTCTATTAAAATAAGTCCTGTTAACAATTCAGCATGCATATAATTAACACATTGAATTTGAAGATGATTAATACGTGGACAAATTAAAAGTAACATATAAAGTTCATCCATGTCTTCCATATTTTCAAAACAAATTTTTCGAATTTGATTTTTAGGTAATAGAATACAAAGAAATTCGATTTCATCGTCTGATAAATCTCCTCGTTGTAAAATTGATAAAGAAAAAATTTTTAATGTTATAACATCAGGTAATAAATGTAAAATCTCCATTAATTTATTACAAAAAATTTTTGCATGAATTTCTAAATGATAAATTTGTGCTAAAGTTAATGCATAATTAATATAATCATTTAAGTATATTGTCTTCGTCGATTGTTCAGGATATAGATCATCTAGACTAAGTCGAATAGATTTTGATAATTTATCAGAAGAATTAATCATCGTCTTTTGTGTATCATATTCATACCATCTTTTTCTAAAGTAAAAGAAAAAAACAATATTCAGTGTAAAAATTTCTTTTTGATATATACCGATATGGACGGATTGAATAAATGATATTTTCAAATTCAAATTCAATATCTAATATCCATTGTCGTTGAAGCCAAAATGATGAAATAAATTGATCGCGTTGTCCAATATACACCGGAGTTTCATAATTTTCTGCAAAATATGCACTGTATTTAAAATAAAATTTTTCTAATTGAAGTAATTTTGTTAAAATAAAACTTTCCCATCGATCAGCATCAAGATAAGTAATATCTTCAACTATTGTTGTCAATGATAAAATTTTTATTTTTGAATTTAATTTACTAATAAATTTTTGAAATATAGTAAATGACGTTATACTATATATATGCATAGAAAGATGTGTTAAATTTGGTAATATCATTGGTTTAATATTTCTAATATTTACATTTCGATCAGTAAGACTCAACAATTTTAAACGATGAAGATGTGGAGTATAAGATGTTATAGCGAAAAGTTCATCGATAGCACAAGAATGATCGATAATAAGATGTTCAATAGAACTTATTTGTTCATTAGTAGATATTGGTAATGAAATAGTTATATAAAAATCATTAGATTCCATTGCTGTATATTTGATATACTTTAATTTTGGTAGTTGAAAATTAATCGATAGATATCACCTAAATCTTTTTGAGTAGACGATGTATTGATTATTAACGAGAAAAGACGAGATAAACAAATCAATTTAAGAAGAAGTGAAATTAATAGACCTGATTCAATTGAATTAAAAATAAGAGATTCAAGATGAATAAATGATGAATCGATATTAAGTGATGAAATAATTTGATTAGTATTTTATGATAACCATAAATGAATTGAAAATATTTTATCTTTATTGAGATGTAAAACTTGTTGATAATTATTGATAAATATTTCTTTTGAACGTGAAGAATTAAGTTTTAATAGACGGAATGAAGAATTGATTAATTGTTGAAAACGATAATTAAGATTTGAAAAAGCATTATAGATTTCACAATCATTCAAGATAATCGAAAATTTCGTAAAACAATTCATCAGAGAAATTTTCAATGGAATTTATTGACATACTAAATGAAAATTTAATATTAATAAATGTTGGTTTTTTTTTGTCTGTGACTTACGTTTCTTGACTAAATCTAGATAATAAAAGATGAAATAAATATATCTAGAACGAATAATCTAGACGAAAGAATAAAGCATGTACAAGCTTGTTGACTATTTGATGAACTGACGATTACGTATTCTTTTTCTTTTCCTTTCTATACAAAATATCTAAGACGAACCATTAACATTAAACTATCCTGAAGATAAACTTTGGAAATTTTATTTGTAAATCTGATCGAATATAGAATTATAAATCCTTCAATGAAATCAATATGCTAACATAGAGTTTTTTCTTCAAAAATTTCTAAATACTAAGTCTTGGCTAGCATTAAAAAATGTTTAATATTGTGTTGTGTATCATATTTATATCACTACTTTCTATACAGTAAAGATTAAGTATTCAATATCACAATCTTTTTCTCAGTGTACTTGTACAGGCAAACTATATAGCTAATTTCTTTATTGGTAACTTCAACTTGAAATTTAAGCCAAAATAACGATATGAATTCATCCGATTTTTCAAACTATATTACAAATTTCAAAATATGAAACTGTGTAATATATTTGATAATTATCAAGATAACTAAATATTTCATAGAAAAGTTCATGGAATGAATTTTCGATGGAAATTACTGATATTCTATATAAAAATATATTACTCGTAACATATTTTATTTCGTAAAATGTACATTTCTTTAATCAGTATTGACATTACGTTGTACGATTTCTTTACTTCATTTTTATGTGCAATCGTTTTTTTCTTAAACTCGAGGTCAATACAAACATGAATGAAAATGTATCTATTATTATGATGAAGTTGAATTAGAATAAAAATCGATATTAAATCATTGAACAAAAATTTCTTTAGAACATATCTATATAAGAAAGAATAAACACAAAAATCATTTCTATTTTAAATATTATATAAGAACAGGTTGGAAAAATTTCGTATACGGTATTATATAACACAATGGGAAATTTACAATATATCGTATTGGGAAAGTCTTAGATATGAGATGTGGATATTTTCAATACTTGTGAATGTCCTAGAATTGTTTATCTGAATACTTTACTCATTAACATTACTACGTAATTGTACAACCATTAGTCTGTATTTCGATTTAGATGTAGATATCATGGAAAAAGCGGACGAGAAGGTTCCATTTTCTTAGATTCAGTTTTTTGATTAATAAATCATTCGATAAACTGTTTAAGTCTGATAATTGAGAGTGTGGATGCGGATGGGTACATCATCCGTCATAATCCTATCATTTTAACAAACGTTATGTTAGATTTTCTGTTTTCTAATTAAATAAATCGGATCAATTTTCTATTTCTTAAAGTAGATTAAAAATGAAATATGACTATGATCAAAACATTAGATAGAACAAATTTCTAATAAGCCGCTACAAATATTTACTTTTTTATTCTTTTCAATTTAAGTTTTTTCAAAGCATGGTTCAGCAATAATGGACCATCTCACTGCTTTAGAATGTTCAACTTGGTCAGAATAAAAGGGAAAACACGAAAAAAATTCAAAACGTAACTTTTTATGGCAGTAAATTTTTTCCTTTAACTGTTTGTTTTAACATAATAACATCCATTTCTGGATACTTTAACATTTGAACAGTACAAAACAACTTCGATAAAACTTTTGCTGAAGTTTCAACTTCCGCACGATATATACATTGGTCGAAGGAGATGAATTTGGATGAGGTAGAAATATGATATATTTGTAAAAAAATATCATGCATTATAACGCATAGCTCTGCAATAACAATAATATTAATTTAAAGAAAAGTCTTCAACAAAACCAATAAACAGTTAATAATAAAAATGAAGTATCGCAAAAATTTACATAGATAAATTTTGGTTTATTTTATATTCATCGATATGTCTGTATATGAATGTTTATGGATTAGTTTGTCATGTATCTCTTTTCAATGCTATTGTTTGTTTTTCTTTCAAATAAATAGTTATATTAAGATGAAAAATGATTTTTTTAAACTCTTGATAACTTTGATAGCAATAAAAGGTCAAAACTTTCATTCCGTAGAATGATATAATACAACATTTTCATTACTAATTGACTATTGATATTTTCTCAAGTATTCTTCCTTTTAAATTATGATCGTATCATTTTGTTTTGTGTCTACAATATTTTATATATGAAAATAAATATTAAATATTTTTACACACATAAAAACATACACAAGTAACGGAAGAAAGAGAACCATTCATTGACGTCGATGTAGAAAAAAAATCATTTTTTGTTGTCTCGTCACTCTTCACTGATCATAATGAATCCCTATTTTAAAAAAAGGCCCGTTTCTCTTATGTATACTATCCCTTCAATTTTATTTTCATCAGTGCATCAATTATACGTATGATAGAGACTCTCAATAAGTAGAATTTTTCTGTTTTCATTGCGGATTGTAAATAGTTCTCCGTATACTATTGACGTTCCGATCAAAGTAAATATAAATTATTACTTAGAGCAGTTCAATAGTAGTGGCAATGACACTTTAATACAATACAATAAGCGTTTAGAAATTTTCTATAAGTGTATAATAAAGTTTCGATAAGATCTATTTCTCTTCTATCATACATGATGGTTGTACTAGTATCAATTTAGTGAAATGTTTACAGTGAGATTTGAATCGTTAAGTGTCTATTCAAACTGTTGAGAGAAGATTTACACAACTGCAGAAGGTTCAAATATTTTGAATTTATCATTTAGAAGCTACAGACATAATAGCAAATTCTCTATGTGAAATTTTTGACAGCTTTTGAAAAAAGGTGTTTTTCTTCGTCTTCTTTTTTGCTAAGAAACCATCCTTCGTTTTAGCGAGTATACTAGAAAAATGTATAGAACGTCACTTGATGTATGTTCATTTTGTTTCTCCAACGATGGAAATTAACATATATGTTAAATTTCTAACTTGAATTCAGGTTTCAATTTTCAAGTCAAAAGCACTTTAAAGAATCACGACTCACATACAATCTCACACACACATCATTGCAGCTGGTGTTGATGCCGTAAGATAAGTTTGAAAGTCGAAAGTCGAAACTTGAAATTTCAATTGAATTCAAGTTGGAAGTTTGATACTACTGGTTGTCATAACATTTTAAAAAGAATCGTACTGCAATATGATCAAGTTTTGCCTTGACTAATCTATTCATTTAAGATTTATCCATTGGGTGTGGGTGTTGATGAAAAGGACACCCATACCCACACCCTGGTCCATATTATTGCAAATGAAGCAAGTCATATCTGCCTGTTAGAATTGTTGCCATTTTCGGTGCTGGTTCCTTCTGGTGCATGATTTTCTGAAGTCTCTTTCGTGTGTTGATAGAAATCAAGTTTTAAATTTTTGATCTGAATTACACAAGATGATTCCGTATGATATTTTTGGTGATCAAATAGTTTCTAAGCGCCTTTTTACAAGATTACACATGGAGCGACGTCTTGTAATTTCATACAATAATTCCCCATTGCTCAGACATATATTGCGGTTGACGCAAAAGTTACTCTTGAGTTAGTCTTTGATTTTGAATAACCTTTGATATGAATAAGATAGAAAGCTGCGGCTTTCATCGTTTGAAAGAGAGTATGTGACTGCATAGTTCCATGTATTACTCGACGATCTTATCCGATGATCAAATGGTGAGTGTTCGAAAAAACAGTGACAGCTCTATGAAGATGATTTAACATTTCAATTCCAGAAAGTGTACTAGATCTGCATATTTAAAATCCATGCCCACAGTTTCATCCTCTAATGCAACGTCTATAACGTTTCAATGAAAAAAGATAAAAGTTTTGGATATAGATATGAGCCTAGATTGCAAGTATGTCGATCTACTACACTTTTTAGAGCTCAAATTTTGTACCATCTTTACAGAGCTGTCACCATTTTTTTCTTGGAGACCCACCGTTTGATCATCGGATAAGATTGTTAAGTAATACATGGAACTATGCAGTCACATACTCTCTTTCGAATGATGAAAGCCACAGCTCTCTATCTTATTCATATCAAGAGTTATTCAAAACCAAAGACTAACTAACTCGCAACTTTTGCGCCACCCTGTATTTATCTTTTCTCCTTAATCGAATATTTCTTCTTGTAAATCGCAAGAATAAGAAGAGAATCACATGATTACGATGACGTTATGGATAAAATTTGTGAAAGTTTTGTGCTACATCTGTATAAACTTCAATATAAATGCAAGAATGATTTATTTTTTTCGAACTATCTATCGTCAAGACAAAAATGACCTATATAAAATATATGCTTGATATTTTAATGGAAATATTCAATATTAAAAAAAAGTAGAAAGACATATGCTGAATGTTGTCATTGCAAACGGCGTTTGTCAAGATATAAACAGAAAATCTAATTAGAATATCTACAAAAAAAAATTAAGATCATGGCTCTTTCGCACGTTTTTACTATCAGAACTCCTACGAATATGAATATT